CCTGTATAATAAGTTTCTTGACATTTTACTGTACCTGTATAACAAGTTTCTTGACAATTTACTTCACCTGTATAATAAGTTTCTTGACATTTTACTGTACCTGTATAACAAGTTTCTTGACATTTTACTGTACCTGTATAATAAGTTTCTTGACATTTTACTGTACCTGTATAACAAGTTCCTTGACATTTTACTGTACCTGTATAACAAGTTTCTTGACAATTTACTTCACCTGTATAATAAGTTTCTTGACATTTTACTGTACCTGTATAACAAGTTTCTTGACAATTTACTTCACCTGTATAATAAGTTTCTTGACATTTTACTGTACCTGTATAACAAGTTTCTTGACATTTTACTGTACCTGTATAACAAGTTTCTTGACATTTTACTGTACCTGTATAACAAGTTTCTTGACACTTTACTGTACCTGTATAACAAATTTCTTGACATTTTACTGTACCTGTATAACAAGTTTCTTGACAATTTACTTCAAATAACAAGTTTCTTGACAATTTACTTCACCTGTATAATAAGTTTCTTGACATTTTACGGTACCTGTATAACAAGTTTCTTGACATTTTACTGTACCTGTATAACAAGTTTCTTGACATTTTACTGTACCTGTATAACAAGTTTCTTGACATTTTACTGTACCTGTATAACACGTTTCTTGACAATTTACTTCACCTGTATAATAAGTTTCTTGACATTTTACTGTACCTGTATAACAAGTTTCTTGACATTTTACTGTACCTGTATAACAAGTTTCTTGACATTTTACTGTACCTGTATAACACGTTTCTTGACAATTTACTTCACCTGTATAATAAGTTTCTTGACATTTTACTGTACCTGTATAACAAGTTTCTTGACATTTTACTGTACCTGTATAATAAGTTTCTTGACATTTTACTGTACCTGTATAACAAGTTTCTTGACATTTTACTGTACCTGTATAACAAGTTTCTTGACAATTTACTTCACCTGTATAATAAGTTTCTTGACATTTTACTCTACCTGTATAACAAGTTTCTTGACAATTTACTTCACCTGTATAATACGTTTCTTGACATTTTACTGTACCTGTATAACAAGTTTCTTGACATTTTACTGTACCTGTATAACAAGTTTCTTGACATTTTACTGTACCTGTATAACAAGTTTCTTGACACTTTACTGTACCTGTATAACAAATTTCTTGACATTTTACTGTACCTGTATAACAAGTTTCTTGACAATTTACTTCAAATAACAAGTTTCTTGACAATTTACTTCACCTGTATAATAAGTTTCTTGACATTTTACTCTACCTGTATAACAAGTTTCTTGACAATTTACTTCACCTGTATAATACGTTTCTTGACATTTTACTGTACCTGTATAACAAGTTTCTTGACACTTTACTGTACCTGTATAACAAATTTCTTGACATTTTACTGTACCTGTATAACAAGTTTCTTGACAATTTACTTCAAATAACAAGTTTCTTGACAATTTACTTCACCTGTATAATAAGTTTCTTGACATTTTACGGTACCTGTATAACAAGTTTCTTGACATTTTACTGTACCTGTATAACAAGTTTCTTGACATTTTACTGTACCTGTATAACAAGTTTCTTGACATTTTACTGTACCTGTATAACAAGTTTCTTGACATTTTACTTCACCTGTATAACAAGTTTCTTGACAATTTACTTCACCTGTATAGCAAGTTTCTTGACATTTTACTTCACCTGTATAATAAGTTTCTTGACAATTTACTTCACCTGTATAGCAAGTTTCTTGACATTTTACTTCAAGTAACAAGTTTCTTGACATTTTACTTCACCTGTATAGCAAGTTAACTATCAAGTCACTTTAGTTTTGTCAATAAAGAGTTTCCCGAATATTCACTAGAAAACTAACAAGTTTATCAATATTTGCCTAAAATTTAACATACAGTAGATAAAAGTGGAATTTTAATAAAAGTCGAATTCTGTGTCCTTTTTTTTTATTACACCGGTTGCCATGGCGACGGAACATCTGTGCCCGTAATAAAGGATAGCCGCCATGTTGTTAACTTGGGTGAGATGGGATATGGGGTGATCAGTCTTGTCAGTCTGAGACTTGTATCTTAAAGTGATATATTCTACAAGTTCATTAGTCTTGTGATCTATCGCTGACTGAGAGAAAGTTTTTATTGACACGAATTCTAAAGATAGAACAGCGGGGACCTGAAGCAAAATGTGAATGTGGCGATAATTAGACGAACATTGCAATACACAATCGTGATTTTATACCGGTATCGTCGCTACTGTTCCAACTGGGATGGGTGTATCGATACTAGCTTGTAAACGCCGGGTTAAGTCTGGCGATACTAGTGCGATACCTCCCCGTGTTAACTATTCTCTGGCTCTAGACAACCAAATTTTATACCATCCCATTACCTACTCCAATATCCCCATGTCCTAATGCCCAAATGCCCCTCCTTGCACTAATGCCCTGATGCCCTTATGCCCAAATCTTTGAATATCTGCCCTCTAAGCTCTCAGATCCGCCCGTTGTTTAACTAACTCTCCTGTCATCCTGGTCCTACTTAACAGCCAGACCTCTCTGTTGCCATAGCAACATACTATTTCTGTCACCGATTGTTACTGAACTAATTAGCCACTTGTAACACAGCTAATTAGCCGCTTGTAACTAAACTAATTAGCCAGGAACACCCATAAGAAAGATAGATATTTTAAAAATACAAACGGGCGAAGAAGCCTTTCAATATCTGCTGCAGTTTGGGTAAGGTTTCAGATCTATTTTTGTTTTACATTTTTTGGTCCTTTTTTTTTAGCAATGTTTTATCTTGCAGACTTTTGCTCAATCTCGGCCGTTGGCTTCTAGCTAAGTCAGATGGCAGACACCTTGCTCACCATACGTCATAAGACAGACACATATTGCACACCATACGTCATAAGACAGACACATATTGCACACCATACGTCACATGACAGAAACATATTGCACACCATGCTCAGAAGACATGTGACATCATTTTGCGTTCTTTTCAAAAGCTCATTCTCAGAAAGAAATTGTGAAAGAAAGTAAAAATAAATGTAACTAAAACTCAAGACAATATAAACAGTTTAGCTTATTTCTAAATATTCATACTGCACCTACCTTTTGTCCTACAACTGACAACTTGTCAAACAAACAAAAAAATGTTTTTTTTTAAAAATAGTTCTAGAGATTTGTTTACATTATACCAACCACCCCCCCCCCCCCCCCCACAGACACACGACTGATTCCAAAACCTGATTCCCAACCCCCATCCCACCCCCAAGGAAACACGACTGATTCCAGAACCCAACCCACCCACCCCCACACACACACGACTGATTCCAGAACCCAACCCCCCCCCCCCCCACACACATACACACGACTTATTCCAGAACCCATCCCACCCCCCCCCCCACAAACACACGACTTATTCCAGAACCCAACCACTCCCCACCCCCACACACACACGACTTATTCCAGAACCCAACCACTCCCCACCCCCACACACACACGACTTATTCCAGAACCCAACCACTCCTCACCCCCCAGCCCATCTTGCCTCTCATGTTTAACACCACCTGTTTGAGTGCCATCTTTGATGCTGGGTGCCGGAAATGACGTGCATCCTGCTGACCCATAGTGGGGGGAGGGGGCGGTAACAGCTGTCTACCCTGAGGCTCGCTGTTGTTACCGGGGGACGTGGCTGATCCTGTGCTAGTATTATTTCGTCCTAAAATCTTAGCTAACCCAAGGAGAGGCGTCAGTTCTTTAACCCCCCTCCCCCCACTCCTCCAACACCGTACCCCTCTAGACTCTAGACAACCAAATAATGAACTGTGATCTCATTTCGACGCTTTAATGTCAGAATCTGGGGGGAAATTTTCATGGGCCAAAAATGTCAAGTTTAAATTAAAACAATACTGTTAGGCTGGGGGGGGGGGGGGTGGTATAGGGGGTCAAGATGATGATAGGAGCTAAAACAACATGGGAGTAAGATGATAGGAGCTAAAACAACATGGAAGTAAGATAATATGAGCTAAAACAACATGGAAGTAAGATAATAGGAGCTAAAACAACATGGAAGTAAGATGATAGGAGCTAAAACAACATGGAAGTAAGATAATAGGAGCTAAAACAACATGGAAGTAAGATAATAGGAGCTAAAACAACATGGAAGTAAGATAATAGGAGCTAAAACAACATGGAAGTAAGATAATAGGAGCTAAAACAACATGGAAGTAAGATAATAGGAGCTAAAAAATATGGGGAGGAAAGAACTTTTGGAGCACAAAATCAGGTTCAATAACGATGTGATAGAATTAATTTAGAGAAAGATGATTTTTTTTTCTTTACACCTAGAGTGAAGTTTAGTTTCTTGAGAATTTTTTTCTTTGAACCTACCCTGAAGTTTTTTGTGTTATGTTTACACCAAGACCGATACTTCATTTTTTAAATTTCTCTCTTTGCCGTTTGGTCATGGTCTAATCCTGATTGGTCGACCGTCGACGGTTTAATCTCGGTTAGATTTGGTCGATGGTCGCTCAACGATGATCAATGCCGGCTCTCATTGGTACCGGCTCAAAGATATCCTTGCCGGCAGTCTCCTGACCGGCAGACTCCTGACCGGCAGACTCCTGACGGAAGAATCTTGCAGGAGTAATCCCTCTTGATACCCAAGTTATCATCCCTTGTAAGCTGTCCAACAAACAGATCGGTGGGGTGTGAGGTGGTGGGTGGGATGGGTGGGTGGGTGAGATGGTACGTGGGTGGGTGGGGTGGGTGGGGTGTGAGGTGGTGGGTTGGGGTGGTACCTGGGTGAGTGGGGTGGGTGTGGTGGGTGTTTTAGGTTGGTGAAATGGGGTGGGATGGTGGTTGGGTGGGATGGTGGTTGGGTGGATGGTGGTTGGGTGGGATGGTAGTTGGGATGGTGCCACTCAATAAATATGTCTCACCTTTTTGTTCCAGATTTTGAAATGTCCCGTCACCTACGCAGCTCCGGTTCATTCAGCAGCGCGTACAGCCGGTCCACCAACGCCACCCAGACCTACAGCAACGGTCACAGCATCAGCACCCAGACCCTGGACAGTGTGGGCGACCCAAGGTTCGATGACGATGACGTGGAGTTATGATGGGAACTGGTGCTTAACGGTTTTAGTGTCTGGTTATGACTGCTCTTCCCCGTGACGTCATGGCCACGTCAGAACATGACGTCATGGCAGCGTCAAACATGACGTCATTGGATCATGGAAAATGTGTGTAGAAAGGATGCGCTTTAAAAATGTGAAACACAATTCGAATTTTTAACTTTGTAGTTTTTTTTTAGTCTTCATGTTTGGAACTACTTTCTTACAGCGTAAGAACAGAAGGGCGAGGTGCTCGTCTAAGTGAGATGAATGCGCGCGTGTGTTCACTTCATGCGTGGTGCACCATGAACTTCACGTGACGTCATTAACCCGGATGAAACATGTGAATTTCTGACATGTGATTTGGACTACAACCAGATCTGTGTTTTAGTGTAGTGAATGTTTCCACTTCATATCATTGTGGGGTATCCAAAAGTTTGTAAGGTGTGTGGGGTGGTAGGGTGTCAAGTAGGGTGTGTTGGTTAGGGCTTGTATAATAGAATTTTGTGTATTTCAATGGTGTGTAATTATTGGAGATACTAATTATAGAATTTGACTAGATGTGTATGATAATTAGTAGCCGCCTATAGAGGTCTGATTGTTCGGTCTATGATACAAGGCTTCATGTCGTCTTAACTCAGACTGTGACCAAAGTATGAAAATTTCATTGAAATGGATTTGTAAACTATTTGCCTTGTAAAATTGTAAAAGTAGTTTCTGGAAATTAGAAATGTCTGGTAAGACAGTCGCTGGGGATCAAGTGAGACTAGTAGCACGTAGTGATGGAACTATATGAACAGGACATAGGACAACAGGACATGGGGCCACTGGACATAGGACAACATGACATAGGACAACTGGACATGGGGTCACTAGGACATAGGACAGCTGGACATAGGACAGCTGGACATAGGACAACATGACATAGGACAACAGGACATAGGACAACAGGACATAGGACAACAGGACATAGGACAGCTGGACATAGGACAGCTGGACATAGGACAACATGACATAGGACAACAGGACATAGGACAACAGGACATAGGACAACAGGACATAGGACAGCTGGACATAGGATAGCTGGACATAGGACAACAGGACATAGGACACCTGGACATAGGACAACAGGACATAGGATAGCTGGACCAGTAAAACAGAATCAGTAGGACAAAAGCTGAACTTATTCTTATGTGTGAACTGGACGTACAAATTGGTGTCATACAAATTGGTGTCAAACAAATTGGTGGCACACAAATTGGTGTCACACAAATTGGTGACACAAATTGGTGGCACACAAATTGGTGACACAAATTGGTGGCACACAAATTGGTGACACACAAATTGGTGACACAAATTGGTGACACACAAATTGGTGTCACACAAATCGGTGACATAAAAAGGTGAGCTTCCCTCCAGCGACGTTTAAGCAAAGTAAATTGATTGAATTCTTCAAACATCATCTTTTTAATCGGCCTTGAATTCTTCAAACATCATCTTTTTAATCAGCCTGAAGGGGAGCAGCCTTTTAATATAAACACAAATAATTACTGGGGGATTTATTATATCTGTTGACTTAGCTTATGTATTCTATAGCCGCAGCAATGGATAGCACATTAAAACGATATCTTCTATCACTGCAGCTAGTTAGTGGCTGGGTTAGAGTTAGCGGAGGGGTTAACATTCACTAGGTAGAGGGAAACATTCACTGGGGTAGGTTTGTTTCACAATAGCATGCTCTCGTTCTGTTACATCATAGGCTCGGGGTGGGGATTGGGGGTGGAGCGAAATGACCTTGTATTGAGTGACCTGGGGCATATCCTGCTCTGGTTTTGTTGTTGTTTTTTGGGAACATTATTTGTTTAAAGATTTCTAACTCTTAAATAAATATAGGAATTTTAATTGGTAGATACTTTCAAATTGAAATAAAAAATTACGAGAAATAAATTCTCACAGCTCTGCTGTTATTAAACGGAAGGAAGTGGGGGGAGGTAAGGGGAATGGAATTACGAGAATAATTTAATTCAACTTTAATTTGACGGGGACGGTAAACCAAACTCCACCAAGTGGGTCGATAAATTGTGCGGGAAATAAAATTGGACGTGTTCTAAAGTTGGCACGCCGCGCCTAAAAAATCTGGCCAGTTTATCAGATGAATATGTCAGGATTCTGAACCCTCAATCGTCCCCGGTTTTTTATCAGGCAAACATTCACCAGGCATGTCTTCAAGCTGAGAAAATTAATAACGCCAAACCTGGGCTAATCCTAGATGATGGCCCATTTTTTGTGAATTAAATCCGGCAATATCGCAATGGTTGTGAATTTAGATTACATCGAAATTTACGGTAGATCAGATCAGCATCTCACTCGATTTATATTTTCGTTGCAAGGGAGGCGAGCAGGGCTGATGAATCGATAGATTAATAGAAGGGAGACAACACTTTGAAATCCTTTCAGAAAAATCAAATGAATTATATATATATATATATATATATATATATATATATATATATATATATATATATATATATATATATATATATATATATATATATGTATATGTATATATATATGTATATATATATATATATATATATATATATATATATATATATATATATATATATATATATATATATATATATATGTATATATGTATATATGTATATATATGTATATATGTATATATGTATATATATATATATATGTATATATGTATATATATATGTTTATATATATATATCCTCATTAGGGTTGATTAAGATGAAGGACAGCCGCCACCCACTACTAATGTAAAATCTATTCTAGTCGGGACTTATTTACAGAAGGGGGGGGGGGGCACTCGGGTTAGCCTCCCCTTACCCTGGGCAAGGGAGGTAATGACTACGTCAGTAGTGGTGTCACAGCAGGATTATAACAGCAGCTGGCTTTGGCAGTGATCATTATCTCCCCTAGATTGTAACAAGAGACGAAATGTAATTGGTTACTTCCCTTGGTCGACATATGTGATTTTGGATGAGACCAACATTGGGACCTTGATAATATTTCCGACATCAGCTGTTGTATTTAGTGGGGAATAAATTAGATCGAGGGTTCTACACTAATTTGAGGGGTTTATTTTTGTATTCACCGCAAAAACTGGTGGGTGACAATTTGATTAGATTTGACCGTTGGTGTTAATTGATTGGATGTGTCTTGTTCTTGTCAACACTTCACCACACACAGTAGGTCCTCACACAGTAGGTCCTAAGACTAGACGATTGAGTACATGAAATAGTGTTGGCTTACTCGACAACACGTGACTTGAACTTGTACAGTGACCTTTGACATTTGGACTTAATCAAAACAGGGGTTTGAGCAATGTGACATATTTACAACAGCATGCTTGTAAGGGTGTATGATATGTTGATTTCATGGTTTAGATTAGAGAGTTGTACATTGATGAACTATTTGGTGTATACGTGTATATGTGGATATTGGTGTGTTTATGTGTATATTGGAGTGTACACAGTTTATCGTTTGTAAAATATTTTCATAATAATCAATTGGAGCACTGTATAGATAACTTATGTACCGGACTTTTTCATGTATGTATATATATATATATATATATATATATATATATATATATATATATATATATATATGAGTGTGTGTGTGACTGTGTGCGTATGTGTGTGTGACTGTGTGTGTGGTGTGGTGCGTATATGTGTGTGCTGTTTGGGTGTGCGTGCGTGTGTGTATGTTTAATCAATTAAAAGACTTGAATGCAGCTCCATTCATATCACCGTGATAAGGTCAGTGAGGGGTGGTCAGTGTGTCCACTCTGTTGATCCTTATGTTGTTTCAATTTTTTCCTAATACGTCTGGTGTGTTTTTATATTTTAATAAATTTTGTGTCAATAATTGTTAGCAAATGTAACTGAATTGGTGTGCACAATTTTTGTATCTTCCATCTCAAAGATTTCCTATGCTAAAAACGAATTTTAGATTTGCCATCGATTTCACTATGTTTGTGTTTATAATAAAGGAAATGTATGCATGAATATCTGCAAGAGATGTTTATCTTAATATCTGCACTGACGATCTGCATGTTCACTTTTGGATGTGTTGTAAAAAAAGTTATTTATTTGACGTCAGTACGTAACCTTCACTCTTAGACTAGCTCAAGGTGAAGGTCACCGGCTTCCAAATTACTGTCACGTGGTTGTGACGTCTGACTCTACCGTCTGTCATCTGACGTCATAGAGCCGGTGTCACGTCTGCCGTGTCATACACGTCTGAGAAAAGATCCGCCGCGTCACAGATGCGTCGTTTAGATGACTTGTGATGTCATTTGGGGACATGTGATGACATTGTGTGACCTTATGTGCTGTAATATGACATTATGACACAGTTTGTGATATTATGTGACATTAGATGCCATGTGATGACATTTAGTAAGTGCGTGTGTTTGAAAGCGATAAATGTCATTTTAAAAGATAAAGGCACGTTCCGACTTCTTGTCCAATAGCTAATTCACTTAAGCCAATAGCTGATCAACTTCATCCAATAGATAATCCACTTAAGCCAATGGCTAATCCACTTAAGCCAATAGCTAATTCACTTAAGCCAATGGCTAATCCACTTAAGCCAATAGCTAATTCACTTAAGCCAATGGCTAATCCACTTAAGCCAATAGCTAATTCACTTAAGCCAATAGCTAATCCACTTAAGCCAATAGCTAATCTACTTAAGCCAATAGCTAATCCACTTAAGCCAATAGCTAATCCACTTAAGCCAATAGCTAATCCACTTAAGCCAATGGCTAATCCACTTCAGCCAATAGCTAATCTACTTTAGCCACTATCCAACAGTATTGCTACTGAGAACTTGCCCTAATGCTACCATTGGCTACATTAGCCTTCATGTATAACAAAACTTGAGGCTACCTAACACCAATGCTACCTAATACAAAATCATGTATGCTACATCGTGCTATGTGAGTATGTTCCAATGAAAGGAGCACGTGTAAAAATTATGCCTGATTAGGTTGACCCAATTATTTATAATTAACTTGCATTTTAGACTTATTTCACATCATTTTATAATGAGAACTATCTCGAAAATCATTAAACATTTTAGTCTGATTTTTTTCCACACGTTTTGGCTTGCTTTGTTTGGCTTCAATCTGTTGTTCAATGTGTTGTTCAATGTGTTGTTCAATGTGTTGTTCAATGTGTTGTTCAATGTGTTGTTCAATGTGTTGTTCAATGTGTTGTTCAATGTGTTGTTCAGTGTGTTGCTCAATGTGTTGTTCAATGTGTTGTTCAGTGTGTTGTTCAATGTGTTGTTCAATGTGTTGTTCAATGTGTTGCTCAATGTGTTGTTCAATCTGTTGTTCAGTGTGTTGCTCAATGTGTTGTTCAATGTGTTGTTCAATGTGTTGTTCAATGTGTTGTTCAATGTGTTGTTCAATGTGTTGTTCAATGTGTTGTTCAATCTGTTGTTCAATGTGTTGTTCAATGTGTTGTTCAATGTGTTGTTCAATCTGTTGTTCAATGTGTTGTTCAATGTGTTGTTCAATGTGTTGTTCAATGTGTTGTTCAGTGTGTTGTTCAATGTGATGTTCAATGTGTTGTTCAATGTGTTGTTCAATGTGTTGTTCAATGTGTTGTTCAATGTGTTGTTCAATGTGATGTTCAATGTGTTGTTCAATGTGTTGTTCAATGTGTTGTTCAATGTGTTGTTCAATGTGATGTTCAATGTGTTGTTCAATGTGATGTTCAATGTGTTGTTCAATGTGTTGTTCAATGTGTTGTTCAATGTGTTGTTCAATGTGTTGTTCAATGTGTTGTTCAATGTGTTGTTCAATGTGTTGTTCAATGTGTTGTTCAATGTGTTGTTCAATGTGTTGTTCAATGTGTTGTTCAATGTGTTGTTCAATGTGTTGTTCAATGTGTTGTTCAATGTGTTGTTCAATGTGTTGTTCAATGTGTTGTTCAATGTGTTGTTCAATCTGTTGTTCAATGTGTTGTTCAATGTGTTGTTCAGTGTGTTGTTCAGTGTGTTGTTCAATGTGTTGTTCAATGTGTTGTTCAATGTGTTGTTCAATCTGTTGTTCAGTGTGTTGTTCAATGTGTTGTTCAATGTGTTGTTCAATGTGTTGTTCAATGTGTTGTTCAATGTGTTGTTCAATGTGTTGTTCAATGTGTTGTTCAATGTGTTGTTCAATGTGTTGTTCAATGTGTTGTTCAATGCGTTGTTCAATGTGTTGTTCAATGTGTTGTTCAATGCGTTGTTCAATGTGTTGTTCAATGTGTTGTTCAATGTGTTGTTCAATGTGTTGTTCAATGTGATGTTCAATGTGTTGTTCAATGTAATGTTCAATGTGTTGTTCAATGTGTTGTTCAATGTGTTGTTCAATGTGTTGTTCAATGTGTTGTTCAATGTGTTGTTCAATGTGTTGTTCAATGTGTTGTTCAATGTGTTGTTCAATGTGTTGTTCAACGTGTTGTTCAACGTGTTGTTCAATGTGTTGTTCAATGTGTTGTTCAATGTGTTGTTCAATGTGTTGTTCAATGTGTTGTTCAATGTGTTGTTCAATGTGTTGTTCAATGTGTTGTTCAATGTGTTGTTCAATGTGTTGTTCAATGTGTTGTTCAATGTGTTGTTCAATGTGTTGTTCAATGTGTTCAATGTGATGTTCAATGTGTTGTTCAATGTGTTGTTCAATGTGTTGTTCAATGTGTTGTTCAATGTGTTGTTCAATGTGTTGTTCAATGTGATGTTCAATGTGTTGTTCAATGTGTTGTTCAATGTGTTGTATCTGGGTGGGGTGGATGGTGTAGCTACATTTTGTGGTGGTGATTTGCATACACCATTTGTGTGGTGTTGTAATAGATACACCATTTGTGTGGTTCTCGTTTGTTAACAAAACATTTTTGTTGTGTTGTGTTCAGTCAGCGAGGTTAAGAATCGTGTGTGATAAAAATGTAACAAAATTAAAATCGAAGCAAAATTAATAAATAATACATTTATTTATCAAATTTATGAAAAGATGAAAACATTATGGCATAGGTTTAAAAGTTACCAAATTAATTTCTTAGGATAAAAAAATTCTGCTAATCCACTTTTTGAGATTGTTCTTTTTTTTAATCGACCGTTCAGAAACCTGTTGAAATATAAATGTTTAATCTAAGGGGAATGACTCTGTATAAACCTTCCATACAAGATTATCGACGTTACTTCCCTTTCAAAAGTTAATAAGAAATAAAGAAACAAAATTTCGTTAGTTGATAGTTTATCTTCTGAAGGTAAGGTTTTAAGTCCTTCTGCAGATAAATACTTATAAAATATAAAATATATTGTCAAAAGTTTTTAAAAAATGGAGTTTAAATGTGCAGGTGCTAAAAGATGACCTTAGAACTGGTGGTTCCTCCTGTACTGGGCCAACTCTGGCTCGGCTCGCACCAACATGCTGGTGAACTGCTTGGCCCCGCTACACATGACGTTGATGTACTCATTCAACACGAACTTGAACTGCTCCTGAAGTTCAAGGTCAGCGAACCACTTGATCCTCTCCTGCAAATACGTCACAACATGTCACAAATATGTCACAACATGACACAAATACATTACAGATGTGACACAAATACGTCACAACATGACACAAATACGTCACAACATGACACAAATACATCACTTGTGTGACATAAATACGTCACAACATGTCACAAATACATCATAAATGTGACATAAATACATTACATACGTGTCACAAATACGTCACAGACATGACACAAATACGTCACGGATGTGACACAAATACGTCACAACATGTCACAAATACATCATAAATGTGACATAAATACATTACATACATGTTACAAATACGTCACAGACATGTCACAAAAATGTCCGATAGTTGAGGGTTATTAAAGTGGTAGGAGTTGGATGGTACCTTGACCGAGATGGTGTTGGTGTTACAACTGTCGCTGAGAGCACGGGTGACCGTGTGTACAACTCGTGTAGTGAACTCTGGTCAAACACACAACAAACTCACAGCACGGGGAAGTACTGGACACACATGACCCGGGCCACGCTTCATGACACACACGAACTGGGTGGGTCTTGCTTGTGTTGTTTGTTTTCTGGATTGTGTAGTTGATGGATGTGTGGTTTTGTGATGTCAATTGTAAACTTGGTCATTCCATCATCATGTTGTGGTGTAGGGTTGTGTTAATGATGACTTTTCATTGTTTGGATTACTGGCTGTAGAAGTCTCTTCCTCAAAAGGTAGGATCATTTCTTTTGATGTATCCGTGGGTGGGGTGGGTGTGTCCGTGGGTGGAGTCAGTGGAGTGGGTGTGTGGAGTGGGTGTGTCCGTGGGTGGGGTGGGTGTGTCCGTGGGTGGAGTGGGTGTGTCCGTGGGTGGAGTGGGTGTGTCCGTGGGTGGGGTGGGTGTGTCCGTGGGTGGAGTGGGTGTGTCGATGGACACAGTTGGAGTGTCTTTCATGTTCTCTCTCATTATACCTCAAGCTTTTTGACCTTCGACCTTTAGCCTCTAATAAATCTCAAGGTAAATTACAATTCTTCTAAAGTCAACTTAGAAAACTGGATATGCAAATCCTAAAGCAAACAGTTCCTTAAGCTAACTTTTATAAGACCGAGTTTTTCTTTCTTTACATGAAAGAAAATATGTCAAATAGAATAAATTAAATTATGTCAAGGGGGGATAGGGGGAGTAGATGGGGGTGGGGGGGGGGCTTGCTCAGTGGGTGAGATGTCCTAATTAGTTGTTATAATTAGCCCTCCCCTCGAGACGACTCTATCCACACACAGTACACTTAGTCCACCCTCCCCACCCCACACTTACCCCTCCTCCCTCACCCCACGGTACACTTAGCCCCCCCCCCACACACACACACCCACGGTACACTTAGCCCCCCCTCCCCCCACCCACCGGTACACTTACCCCACCCCACCCCACACCCCCACCTACCCCCCCCCCCCCCCAACACACACCCCACGGAACAGTTAGCCACGCCCTGTCTGCTACCTGTCTCGGCCAATATTTATTTGAGTGTCATCCTTACCTCGTGAGGAAACAGAACTGCTTCAACTCTACCGTGACACGGCAGGTCTAATATTTGCTCGTCATAGGGGTCTAATTACTGTCTTAAGTTGATGGTCTACATCTTGGGTCTAGGAGGGTCTAAATGTGATGGTCTACATCTTGGGTCTAATTACGGTCTAACTGTTACCTGTTTCTTTGAGGGGTCGCTCAGGTAGGCAGCGATGCTAATGTTACCTGTTTCTTTGAGGGGTCACTCAGGTAGGCAGCGATGCTAGAGTTGGCTAATGTTACCTGTTTCTTTGAGGGGTCGCTCAGGTAGGCAGCGATGCTAGAGTTGGCTAATGTTACCTGTTTCTTTGAGGGGTCGCTCAGGTAGGCAGCGATGCTAGAGTTGGCTAGACTGGAGAAGTTGCCGTCGACGCTGTAGTAGTCGACTGTAGGGTACTGGTTGCCGTCGTCTATCATGTCCACGCTGCCGTACGTGCCGTCGTGGACTCTGTCAACAAAACATTGACCAGTTGACGTGTCAACAAAACATTGACCAGTTGACGTGTCAACAAAAACATTGACCAGTTGACGTATGTGTCTACATGGAATATGTCAACAAAAACATTGACCAGTTGACGTGTCTACATTTTGGCACGTCAGCCTATAAACAGTTCCCATTATGGACACTTAAACCAAACAGGTTGGGTAACTCCAAAGTTTTACATCAACAAAGAGAGACCACTCTAGCGGTCATCATTGAGGTCAGGGGGTGGGGTTAAAGTGGACACTGGTGCTATTTGAGACCAGACTATGGAAAGGAATTGCCCAGTTACGTCATCATTGGACCGGAGCCTAAATGTGACCTTGACCCAGACCTTCTCACCAGAGCCAGACAGACATGCAACTTGATGCAGCGAGTGTCAACAGTGTGCAGGAAATTAACGTGCAACAACTGTTGACTTTATGAAACCCGACGCCCTGATCAAACACACAGTCCACATGTATCTAAAAACTTTTCACACTTCTAGAGGCGTTGGGGGGGGGGGGGGGAGAGGTTAAATCATGGATCTTTTTATGTGATAATTCTATCTCTGACTTTATATGATGATTCTATCACTGATTTTAGCCTCGATTGTAAACCAACAAAATAGCGCACTCATAAATACCCCGACCCCTGGACACTAGTGCATAGGGACAGACCCACCACTTGACCCTTGGGACAGACCCACCACTTGACCCTTGGGACAGACCCACCACTTGACCCTTGGGACAGACCCACCACTTGACCCTTGGGACAGACCCACCACTTGACCCTTGGGACAGACCCACCACTTGACCCTTAGTGTGACAGTTTGACCCCACCTTTTTCTTTCATCGTATAACCCTACGAAAGAACTGACCCTCCTGTCCTATGCTAGAACTGACCCCTCCTGTCCTGACCCACCTTTGTAGAATGTCCTTAGAGCTGTCACACTTGCAGAACTCGAGGAAGTGACCAGTGATGGCGTACATGAAGCTCAGCTTCTGGTACATGTACTCGTGAGAGAGGGATGAGAGCTTCTCTGTCAACATCTTCTTCATGTGGACCTTTTCCATCTGCTTGTAGATGGCCATCTTAGCGTCTCTCTCTTGCTTCTCTCTCATCTCCTGGTGTACGGGATGGTGGTGATGATGGTGGTGGTAGCGGTGGGGGTGGTGGTGGGGGTGGTGGTGGTGGTGATAATGATGATGATGGTGATGGTGATGGTGGTGATGGTGATTATGGTGATGGTGATGGTGATGGTGATGGTGATGGTGGTGGTGGTGATAGTGATGGTGATGGTGGTGGTTATGGTGATGGTGATAGTGATGATGATGATGGATATGGCGGTGCTGATGGTGATGGTGATGGGTATGGTGATGTTTATTGTGATGGTGATGGTGGTGATGGTGATGATGATGCGGATGGTGATGATGGTGATGGTAATGGTAATGGTGGTAATGGTGAGTATTGTGATGATGATGGTGATTGGTAGAATAAGCGATATTTACATAACACAAACGACGTACAGGATACAAAAGACAAAATGGTTGTTAGATGGAACCCAGACTTAGAATGTGGAGGGGTTTGTTCATGACTAGAGTTTCTGATAATAAGACTCAACTGGTAAACCTTAGCCCTAACTAGTGCTGATAGAGCACTCATCCAGTTGATAACTATAAACTTGCCCCAATGATGACGTAATAATTCCAAACTGACGTCGTGACATACCTTAGCCCTAACATATTCTTTGAACTTGAAGACGTTTCTCTGCATGTAATCTTTGAATTCACCGTTGTCTTCTCTGTCGCCGCCGCTGATCCAAGATTTGAACTGTTCGAAGGCGGATTTCTACATGTGGGAGACAAGAATCAAGGGTCTATATTTGTATTTCACATAACCAATTCATTCATGTGAATTTTCGTACCTACAGTTGCATAATAATAGTAAATTATGTATATTCTAATATACTAGACGACCGCGTTATCCCTTGGATAACTTATACTTCGGCAAAGAAAATAAAACTATTAAAAGTACATCTCTAAAAAAACTGTCTTAATATTTAAGTAGATTAACATTCTTATTATATTTATTAAATAATTTTGCACATAAATCTATTTCTTCTTTCTTTTACTCTAAATTATCTCGGTTTGACCTATTTTTGTTTTACAGACATTACAAAGTAGTTCAGCTTATTTTTTTGCGTGCTGTGAATTTATTTGTGCTTTACTTTTAGCCATATTTCAGGTTTTCTTTTTTGCCTTTTGCGTAAACGTGTATTCTATGTCATTTTTGTCATTTCAAACAAAACGAGGCAATCTTTTTTAACTGCTAACGATTTAGTTCGTGAACTTCTTGGAAATGTTTTAGTTTGTTGGATGTTATCTTTTTATAACTCACGTGATCGTCATCGTCTCTTCTTCTTCTGTGTTCGTCATCATCATCATCATCGTGTCGCCTTCTTCTGTGTTCATCATCATCATTCTTTCTGCCTTTACGGTCGTCATCACCCCATCCTTTAGATTTTTTGTCTCCCCAACCTTTCTTTTCATCGTCTTTCTCCCCCCAACCTTTCTTTTCATCGTCTTTCTCCCCCCAACCTTTCTTTTCATCGTCTTTCTCCCCCCAACCTTTCTTTTCATCGTCTTTCTCCCCCCAACCTTTCTTTTCATCGTCTTTCTCCCCCCATCCTTTCTTTTCGTCCTGCTCCCCCCAACCTTTAACCTCTTTGTCCCCCCACTTCTTATCTTGATCGTTCCCTTGGCCAAACTTGTGACCCAGATCCTTCCTGTCCTCCTCCCCCCACCCCTTACTCTTGAGTTTCTCCTCCATCTCAGACCACATCTTGGCGAAATCCCCGGCCAAAACCATCGGGACCACCAGCAAGACAAACAGCAGCTTCATGGTGAGTACACTGAAACACACACGTCAATATAATCACAACATTCATGGTGGGTACAATAAAACACACACGTCAATACAATCAAAACCTTCATGGTGAGTACACTGAAACACACACGTCAATAAAAAAACAACCTTCATGGTGAGTACACTTAAACACACACGTCAATATAATAACAACATTCATGGTGAGTACACTGAAACACACACGTCAATATAATCACAACCTTCATGGTGAGTACACTGAAACACACACGTCAATATAATCACAACCTTCATGGTGAGTACAAACACACACGTCAATATAATCACAACCTTCATGGTGAGTACAATGAAACACACACGTCAATATAATCACAACCTACATGGTGAGTACAATGAAACACATGACAATATTATCACAAGATCGACAATGAGGGTCTCGCCAAAAGTGAGTCTAAAGATCATTAGGCCGACCGCAGTGTCGGTCAAGCATTGAACGCAACAGTTGGTCAACCAATGGACGCAACAGTTGGCCAACCAATGGACGAACCACTTGGTTAACCAATGGACGAACCACTTGGTCAACCAATGGACGAACCACTTGGTCAACCAATGGACGAACCATTTGGTCAACCAATGGACGAACCACTTGGTCAACCAATGGACGAACCATTTGGTCAACCAATGGACGAACCATTTGGTCAACCAATGGACGAACCATTTGGTCAACCAATGGACGAACCATTTGCTCAACCAATGGACGAACCATTTAGTCAACCAATGGACGAACCACTTGGTCAACCAAAGGACGAACCATTTGGTCAAACCAGTTTGTATACCTAAGTAAAGATAGTCTGTAGTTCAGATTTTAAAATTAAATTAAAATACTTTATAATGCACTAAAAATAATAAACTAAAACTAATTTACTTCCTTAAACGAAAGCATTGGTCGCTCATGGAAACTCTTGCTCATTTTGACCAATGATTTCATTAAAGAAAGCAAATCTGCCTATCTATATATATAATTCTCTACGTGGGGACCATGTGGGACACCACCACGTAAGCACGACTAGCAGTCCCCTCCCTTCCTCTCGAGGTATAATCCTACCACCCCCTCCCCCACATGGTCTGGTGAGCTTGTGGTTAACGCCAAATGTTTACAATCGTAGAGCCGGCTCGAATTTGTGACGGATATTAGGGACAGATAATTTAGTTTTTAAACGATTTGAAACTTAGGGAGGTACCTAAAAGGAATTTGCATTCAGGGGGGGGGGCGGATGGGGTGGGGGTATCGTCATTCACGAGCTACTGAAAGTGTTTTAAAGCAAATATTTTCAGTCGCCGCATTGGTAGAGTCGAATTCCTAAATTATGAATTACTAAAAAGCAGAAAATAAAACCGCTAAATAGTGGCGTATACTACGCCTTGGGTCGACTCGATTGTTTTATTTTCTCATTTTGTAGTCCACTCAAAGGCATAAAACCAATCATCCGTGACTGACGGTTAATCGCTGTCTTCTAGTACTTGGTCCTGCTACCCTCTCTATGTTTATTGAATTCGGTAATACGTTAATTATTTTTAATGTCTATTTAATATTTAATTAGATTAAAAATAAGATATTCTTGCGTTGTCATCAGAGATTAATGTATATTGAAAATTTGAACGAATTAAATTGAACTTCATTAAAAGTAGTCGAAATGGAGTTACAAGTTGTGTCACTAACCCACAAGCAAGCAAGCAAACTAAGTAACAAACCAATAAAATAACTAAATAAAAACATATTTAAAAAATATTCCATGCCTAAGATAAACCTGGCTTACTGCAGGCCTAATATCCAAACAGAAACTTACAAAAGGATCGAGACTTACCTCCGCTAGACAGCTAGACAAGACGGAACTCCGGTAAAACAACAGCGCTACTGGGTCCCTAGAGAGCACCGTTAATTTATACCTGAAGAAATCAAAAGTTGTTTGCTCAAAACTGTCTCCCACACGCCAATTCTGACTCTTTAAACATACATCACGAGAAGTTTGTTTTTAGGGGTGGGGGACGAAGACTGAGGGGGAGGGGGGTCAAAGGGTGGGGTGGGAGAACTTGTACTTACTTTAACTGCTCCTGACGATACTTCAGCTGTATGTAGATGGGTTTTAAACAACTGGCAACATGAGAACTCTGTCAATAAATCTAGACGCATCCCTGCTTACACTAGACCGTCCATGCTTACACTAGACGCATCCCTGCTTACACACTGCTTACACTATGCCCGTCTTCACGACAACCACCTCAGCACCCTCGAAATACCACTGATTATAATTGCGCGCCTAATTAGCATTTGAAGGCGCAGATTCACCTCATCAAATAAGGTGCCATTTGAAAAGTTTGACATACCAAGTTTTACCCCAGCCTGCCCCCACCCTACCCCACCCCAGCCTGTTAAAAATGACCAGTTCGTGTTTCACGTGACACCCTGCCCCACCCTGCCCCACCCCGCCCCACCCTGCTAAACGATGACTCCAGCTAAAACTGCGGTTGAAGTGTTTGATGGGCCCAGCCCTAAAATGAATCTAGAAAATTCCAAGCTAAAATAACATTAGCAGCTCCCAAATATAGGTCACGAGCACAAGTTGTTTTTGTATCACCTACAAATGTTTGAGGCTCTATTCAGGTGGTGCTCTTTGAACCCAGCTCATTTGCATAGGTCATAGTTGATTGATTACATCATCAGTACGTCATGATATCAACGCCTCATATTTCAACATCAACTTCTGACGTATTTCCTAAGGACCCCACATCTACCTCAACACCTCGCATCTACCTCAGCACCTCATGGCATACACATCACCACTTCACGACATCTAACTCAGCACCTCACGACATCTACCTCAGCACTTGACATCTACCTCAGCACCTCACCACATCTACCTCAGCACCTCACGACATCTACCTCAGCACATGACATCTACCTCAGCACCTCATGACATCTACCTCAGCACCTCACGACATCTACCTCAGCACCTCACATCTAGCTCAGCACCTCGAACCTACCTCAGCACCTCATGACATCTACCTCAGCACTTGACATCTACCTCAGCACCTCATGACATCTACCTCAGCACATGACATCTACCTCAGCACCTCATGACATCTACCTCAGCACCTCATGACATCTACCTCAGCACATGACATCTACCTCAGCACCTCATGACATCTACCTCAGCACCTCACGACATCTACCTCAGCACCTCACATCTAGCTCAGCACCTCGAACCTACCTCAGCACCTCACGACATCTACCTCAGCACTTGACATCTACCTCAGCACCTCATGACATCTACCTCAGCACTTGACATCTACCTCAGCACCTCGAACCTACCTCAGCACCTGATGACATCTACCTCAGCACTTGACATTTACCTCAGCACTTGACATCTACCTCAGCACCTCATGACATATATCTCAGCACCTCACACCTATCTCAGCACCTCACGACATCTATCTCAGCACCTCACATCTACCTCAGCACCTCACAACATCTACCTCAGCACCTCACATCTACCTAAGCACCTCACAACATCTACCTCAGCACCTCGCATCTACCTCAGCACCTCATGACATCTACCTCAGCACTTGACATCTACCTCAGCACCTCATGACATCTACCTCAGCACCTCACATCTACCTCAGCACCTCACAACATCTACCTCAGCACCTCACGACATCTACCTCAGCCCCTCAGCACCTCACGACATCTACCTCAGCACCTCACATCTACCTCAGCACCTCACGACGTCTACCTCAGCACCTCACATCTACCTCAGCACCTCACAACATCTACCTCAGCACCTCACGACATCTACCTCAGCACCTCACATCTACCTCAGCACCTCACATCTACCTCAGCACCTCACCACATCTACCTCAGCACCTCGCGACATCTACCTCAGCACCTCACAACATCTACCTCAGCACCTCTCTTTGGACCTATAAACTATTAAAATTATATTTTAGGCTCGTCGCTCATCCTTTAATTGAAGGGCAGATAACAGTGAGATATAAATATTTCATCTGTTAGGGAGAGAATTGGGTTGTTTCCCTTTGACAAGTTTAAAAACCACATATTTAGTGATTCAATAAAAAGACTCATAAAAAGTTGACTTATTATATAAAAATTTTGGTTTCCATTTTGATTTTCCGTTGTTTTTTTTCAATACTGCAAATGTAAAACAAATAAAATAATTAATTCAGTAGCATTAATAGTTTGTGCTAACTTTAATACCTAGGTGTGTGCCTTTGATCCTGTATATCAGGGGGCTTTATATAAAATATTATATAATATTAAATGGGGTAGGTTGTAATCAGAAGGGTAATATATGTAACAATCGGTAGCAGCGTCATGGTTTGTGACTGGACTTAAGGAGGTTTAGTTTGACCAAAGCAGAATTTGTAGGTCCTTCAGTCAAAGCTATAGATTTTGAAACCATAAAAGTAGACATACCACAAGTAGTGCTTTTTACTTGCATCACCGTGTCTTAATAGATAGGGGAAGTTGGGGTTTATTTATATACCGACTAAAAACGTTTGTATAGTCGGCACTGTTTTTGATCTTTCGCACAAGGTGAATGAAATATTAAATACACGCACATTGCTAAAAGATATTAAACGGTTCAATGTCAAAAAATATTTTCGCTTAGATTATAAGAAAAAATAGATAAAAATTTTAATAACAGTAGGGTCGAAAAAACTAAATCAAAATATTTAATGATTTAGCCAGGAGAAGTAATTTAAAAAGAAATTTAACTCAGGCTAAAAAAATATGAATACAAATTCCGCGGACGTGCAAGAGGAGAATATTGTTAGATTGATATTTGAGTTATGTTATGCGTTTGGGTTAGCGTTTTTATTTGTGTTTTTTGTGTTTGCATTTGTGTTTGCGTTTGCATTGTTTTTGTGTTTGCGATTTTGTCCGTATTGTGTTTGCGCTATCTTTTGTGTTTGTGTTTGCGTTTGTTCTTTCTTTTGTGTTTGTGTTTGCGTGTTGCGTTTTCTTTTGTGATTGCGTTTTGCTTGAGTTTGTGTTTCCGTTTGTGTTTAGCTTTCTTCTGTTACCAAGTTGGTACATTTTAAAAAGATTTACCGTGGCGGAGTATGCAGCTAGTATATATATATAATATATATATATATATATATATATATATATATATATATATATATATATATATATATATATATATATATATATATATATATATATATATATATATATATATATATATATATATATATATATATATATATATATATATAAAGCAAAGTAGTCGGGTGCCCGCGTTTTTTCCCTAAGGGTTCAAGTCCTCTTTCTTTCCCTTGAGGGTTCCAGTCCTCTTTTTTTTTCCTGAGGGTCCCAGTCCTTCTCCTTTCCCCTGAGGGTTCCAGACAAATGCTGATATTCTCATGGTGTGGGCTGGAATGTTGTAGTATGTTTGTGGGCTTGCTCTCATGTCCCAGTATGTGGGATGTGATGGGCTGTGGTGGGATGTGGTGGGATGTGGTGGGATGTGGGGCTGTTGCCACATGTGGTCGTGTGATATTTTTTTCTGGCAATCTTCAGGATTCGTCGTGGCCATGCAAAAGACTGTTGCCTGTTATTTGATTATGTAATCCTCCAGGTCTGAGGGCATTTTAGCAGTGATGTCGTGTGTTTAAAGATTCTTATCTTTGTCTGATAAGCAATACATCTTAACAAACGTTAGAGGCTCGTAGTGAATTAAAATAATAATAAGATGATGTTCGTGGTAAAAGTGTTACGTCACCTGTTTCAGTTATATCAAATGTGACACAAACACCCCAGACAGGTGTGACAACTTCCTGTCACATGTCTACATTGTCGGCCAAATTTTAAAAAGGCGACTTGAGTATTTATTTACCTGCATCTACAATCTGATTTTTTTTTAAGTATTTTTCTCTGAGCTTTTTGACTGAACACACCATCTCTTTGTTTAGCAGCTGTACCAATTGTTTAGTTATGCTGATGTTTTGTCAGTAAATGACACTAAGTGTTGCCTCTCCCCCCCCCTCCCCCCATAGTGACGTCACTGAATTCTGTGTACATGTTTGTTTATAAATTTATTTTTGAACATTTTCTCTATTGAAACGTTCGCCTCAATCCAACAATACCTGTGAAGATTTTAACGTGGATAAAGTCCACTATTTCACCAGAGCCAAAATTCCTTATCTATGATTACAATGGATGGTGATGACAATCTAAAATGAGGAGAAGACCTTATAGAAATGTTAAGTGGTTTATTAAATCTTTTGATTTCCAATATCAATAAGTTTAATAATTAATTAATTAATTAATACAAAAGTAACAAGTGAAACAATATGAACATTGAGTGAGCAAAGACCGGTGTATCACGTGACAGCACTAGCTATGTTAGCTGGTTTTTACATTAGACGAGATGTGAAATCATTAGACACCAGATTTTAATGAAATGTAAATCTATAATACACAATACAAGGTACACAAAATATATTTTTATTCTTCGTATTTTACGTTTATTGAGATCTAATTTTTAAAGTTATAAAGTACATTTGTTTAAAAAAATATATTTAAAATCTTTTATTTATCGAAATAGAGATATTTGAAACAAGAAATATCACAATAAAAAATATTTTAGAGAAAATTTTTAAATGTGGATGAAAATCGTCAAGCGATACTTTTTTCAGTGGTCGACTTGACATGAGACGTGAAACTTGACAATTGATCACCTACGTGAAACCGAAATGTGATCTGAAATAGATGAATTGGAAATATGTGGTTTTATTCAATTGGAATTATGTGGTTTCATTCACTTTGAAGTCATTCAAGTGCTTACACGGATGTGTTTTTAATTAAGTATTTTTTTTTAAATGTGTTATTAGTTTTTGTGGACATTGACATAACAAGTCTTTTCTGAGATTGGCCCAACAAAAGTGTTGCTGAAGGTGGAGCTAAGAAAAGACTTACCCAGCCTCTACCAGTGGTTGTTGAAACTGGAGCTAAGAAAAGTGTTGCTGAAGTTGGAGCTAAGAAAATACTTACCCAGCCTCTACCAGTGGTTGCTGAAGGTGGAGCTAAGAAAAGTGTTGCTGAAGGTGGAGCTAAGAAAAGTGTTGCTGAAGTTGGAGCTAAGAAAAGACTTACCCAGCCTCTACCAGTGGTTGCTGAAGGTGGAGCTAAGAAAAGTGTTGCTGAAGTTGGAGCTAAGAAAAGACTTACCCAGCCTCTACCAGTGGTTGTTGAAACTGGAGCTAAGAAAAGTATTGCTGAAGTTGGAGCTAAGAAAAGACTTACCCAGTCTCTACCAGTGGTTGCCGTTCCTCCTGTACTCGTTGACGCTCTGCTCGAGGTCAGCCATCATGTCCGTGTACTGTTTGGCCGCCCGGCACATGATGGTCACAAGGTCCTCCAGGGCGCTCTTCAGCTGGTCGTGTTGGTCCAGGGCGGAGAACTCTTCAGCTTTTCTCTGTGGGGGGAGACAGGTCATATGAGGGTCAGGTGGGTGGGGGGGAGACAGGTCATATGAGAGTCAGGTGGGTGGGGGGAGACAGGTCATATGAGGGTCAGGTGGGTGGTGGGGGGAGACAGGTCATATGAGGTCAGGTCAGGTGGTTGGAGCAGGGGCGTTGGTGTGGGAGTCAGTTGAAGTAGGGGGAAATTGGTGGGGGGGGGGTCAGTTGGGAGGTGTGGCACAGGTGTGAGGGTCAGTTGAGAAATGAGGGTCATTTGATGTGGGGGGCATCGGTGTGAGTGTCAGATGGGAGGTGTGGGAGATATGTGTGTAAGGGTCAGTTGAGGTGGAAGGTACGTAAGTGTGGGGCGACATAAGTGTGAGGGTGGACATTGGTGTGAGGGTCAGAAGGTTTGAGTCAGTTGGGGGTACGGGCAACATTAGTTTAAGGGTAACGTGAGGTCGGGGGAAATTTTTTAGTTTAGTTATCGAAAAACTCTAATTATGTATTAGACAATTTATATCCCCACCCGTGTAATAGATGAATGATTATTCCCACCCCGTGTACTAAATGAATGATTATTCCCACACCCCCCCCCCCCATGACTCTATAAAACCCACCTTCATGTCTTCTGGGCTGAAAGTGTCCATATCATCCATCTCGCTGTCGGTGCTGTTGTCGTAGTTTGTCACTGAGGTGTCGTTGTTGTCGTAGCCGTAGGAGTCCTCGTCGGTGGTGTCGTTTCTTGCACCATCAACCATGTCTCCTTCATCGTCGTCATCATCAGCGGCATCGCCGTTAGCGAATTTGCCATCAGCGATCCTGCAGAGATAAAGCGGTTTTTTTTTAACTTGTTCAACTCTTTTAGCCTGGGTTTTATATTTGTTTGGTTAATATGGAGTTATATGTGGAGTTATGATCTAAATCATTTCATACAATATTTAATCACATATATTGATAAATGCTAATTCATGCCTCTTGGTATGTGTTCAATATTATTTCTGTATGGCGTCTCTATTACCTTAACCTCACCTATATTTGACTTCATAACTCTTCGTGATTACATTTCTATAGGGCTCTCATGAGACCCTATGACACTCCCTTGACATTCATATGGCTATGTATGACTTTGTGTGACTTTTTGGGACATTTTACTCTTTTGTATAACTGTGTTGGACCTTTGTGTGACTATGACTAAATGTGACTGCATGACTTAATGTGACTGCATGACTAAATGTGACTGCATGACTTTAGTGTGACTGCATGACTTTAGTGTGACTGCATGACTTTAGTGTGACTGCATGACTTTAGTGTGACTGCATGACTTTAGTGTGACTGCATGACTTAAGTGTGACAGCATGACTTGATGACTTACTTTTGCAGGAGTTTCTTGGACCTGGAACATGGGCAGTCGTCCAGCAGGTGCTCGATGATTGAGTGGGTGAAGCTGAGTTTCTGCTCCTCGTATTCCTCGGTCAGATTCTGGAGCTTCTGGGTCAGCATCTTCTTGATCTGGACACGCTCCATCTCCCGTCTGATGGCGTCCTTGGCTTCACGCTCTTCGCGCTCTTTAATTTCCTGGTTCATTAGTGAATAATTAATGAGTTACACGCTCGCGTGAGGATTGAGACGATTGACCGGATTCTAAGCTGAGTCCTCCAACTGACCTTCGTCTTGACCCCACCATCTGACCCCACACAAAGTGGCCTTCACATTGACCCCAGTATCTGACCCCACGAGCTGACCCCACCATCTGACCCCACCATCTTACCTTCACCTTGACCCCCCTCCCACAAACTGACCTTCACCTTGTCCCCACCATCTGACCCCACCAACTGACCTTCACCTTGTCCCCACCATCTGACCCCCACAAACTGACCTTCGCCTTGACCCCATCAACTGACCTTCATCCTGACAAACTCCTTAAACTGCAGGACGTGTCCACGAACGTAGTCCTCATATTCCTCATCCTCGTCCCTGTCCCTCCTGTCCTGTCTCTTGAGCCACTCCTTGAACTGTGAGAACATCCTCCTCTTCTGTTACACACAATCAAGATATCAGTCACCATTTATCTTCATTTTGTTGTTAAGCTATACAGTCTTACCGTAATTAATGTAATAACCCGTGTTACTAAACTTATCTACCAAATGACTGAAAGACGAATTTATGCCCAGAACACACCACCTAAACAAAACACAACACCTAGACACAACAAAGCAGGACCTAAACGCCAAATTAAGACACAAATTAACTACCACGCCTGTGGTCCGCGAGTTTGATCCGTCTAGAATACTCTAGATCAATATTGTCTCGCTTCTGGATTTTTAAAAAAAACAGGACCGCGGAACAGGACCGCGGCTCTGCCACTTTCATACCCAATTGACCGGAAGTTCGCCTAGAAAACTTCCGATTTTTAAAAGACCGATTGACAAAATTAAGATAAAGAAATCATTTCAGCTGCTTACAAATTAACTTAGGAAATGAGATAAGATTTAGAGATTGCTAGATTGATAAATGATTGACGGAGACAGGTGACGGACTGACTCACCTTATCATCATCGTCGTCCCTCTCCTCACTGTCGTCCCTTGACCTGTGTCTTGAACCTCTCCTGTCGGAGACTTCATCATCTTGAGACTGGTCGGGCTGGTCATTTTGGTCATCGCCGGTCTGGCCATCGTCGGTCTGATCATCTTCGTTCTGGGCATCGTCGGTTGGGGCATCGTCGGTCTGGTCCTTGTCATCATCGCGCTTGCCACCTCGGCCTTGACCCCTCTTTCCCCAGCCCATGGGCTTGTCGTCACCCCAGCGTTTGTCGCCAGATTTGCCTCCCCTGCGTGGGTGTCTTCTGTCGTCGTCGCCAGACTCGTCATCATCAGAGCCTCGGGACCGTCTGCCGCCTCGTCTGCCTCTCCTGTCGTCATCAGAATCATCTTCCTCGGAATCTCTGGAACCTCGGCCACCTCTCCTGGAGCCGCCTCTTCTTCCACTTCCGGTGTTTCCGTTGTCATCTTGGCTGTCGTCTTGAGAAGTCTGACCTTGAGATCCGCCCTTGGTTGAGTTTTGGCGTGGTGGTGATGGGGTTGTGTCCATGGAGCCATCATTGTTGTCTGCTGGCTCGTCTGTTGTGTCATCTTGACCAGTGCTTGGGGATTGGTCCTCGTTGTCGTCATCCTGCTGCCACCTCTTGCCACGCCCACCACTTGATCGTCTTCCTGAGCCCCGCTTCTTGTCTCCCCATCCGTTGGATTCCTCTTTATCTCCCCAACCGTTGGATTCTTGCTTGTCCCCCCATCCATTGGATTCTTCACGGTCTCCCCATCCTACAGCCTTGCTGTCTCCCCATCCTTTGGAGTCTTTCTTATCTCCCCATCCTTTGGAGTCTTTCTTATCTCCCCATCCTTTGGAGTCTTTCTTATCTCCCCATCCTTTGGATTCTTCCTTATCTCCCCAACCTTTGGATTCTTCTTTACCTCCCCATCCTTTGGATTCTTCCTTATCTCCCCATCCTTTGGATTCTTCCTTATCTCCCCATCCTTTGGAGCCTTGCTTCTCTCCCCAACCTTTTCCGTTGTTTCCTTTCTCGGAGGAATCATCGTCCTCACCAAATCCGAGGTCTTTACCCCATCCTTTCTCTTTGATCTCCTTCTCTACCTCATCCCACATGCGGTGGAAGTCCCCAGCCAACACCATTGGCACCACCAACAGAACGAAGAGCAGCTTCATCGTAATGTCTGGAATCAAGAAATTAATTCGTCAGTGGGGAATTTGACATTGATAGAGTAGGCTGGTGACGTTAAGATAGAAATGTTTTCAGATTTTTCAGTAAACTTAACTCGTTACAATGACAAAAATCTCTCACAGTACGCCTGTTAGGTTCTAACAAGCAAATGAGAAATGACATTTTTAAAACGAGCAAATGAAAAAGTACATTTTAAAAACGAGCAAATGAGAAAGGACATTTTTAAACGAGCAAATGGGAAAGTATATTTTTTAAAACAAGCAAATGAGAAAGGACAATTAATTTGCCAAGGCAAGTGCTTACCTTTTTATAAGAAGGTCTGAATTGTATAACTAAAACAATTATTTGAATTCCAACTTGGAGAATTTTTAAAAGGAGCAAAACAAATGTATTTTATCAGAACAATGTATTTTAAAGGAGTTGAAACTACTACTTCAGAATGTAAAGACATGGGGAGATTTTGTTTAAACCCGGCTGTACAAATACCTTTATTGGTCTAGTATCAAATGGCAAGCCAGGACTCAATGTGATCTTGAGAAACCAAATACAGATCCTGTTTGCTTAGGGACCATCAAGAAGCAGACGTTAGATCAAGGGAGGCCATGCACCAGCAGACGTAAGAAAGATTTAACTGCACCCACTTCTAGAAGACTCATAAAAAAATCTCCACACACAAAAGTTTAATAACTGCCACCATCTTAAGGCCTGCCAGTCGTCTGCTACTGGTGTGTCTGTGACAGTGTCAAGGATCCTCAAACGGTTTACAGCAACAAGTTCAACTTTCTCTTTTAGCTAGTCCAACACGCTGACCAATACTTACATCCGATTTTAAACTTGACCATTACATGTTGATTATTGCAGCGCTTTAAATACGCTTCGGTTTCGATATGTGAATTTTCTTAATTAATGAGTGATTTGTAATTTAAGAACCTTCGCTCATGAAGGTCGGTGTTACAAGGTGTGTCTGATGTATTTTATCTCTTACCTATGTAAACATCTATTTTAAAACCAGCTGGCTTAGTGGGGTTTTTTTAATGTGTTCTTTTTCGGACCGGCATATTCGACGTTTTACTTTATTGAAAACTCTATGATATATATATATATATATATATATATATATATATATATATATATATATATATATATATATATATATATATATATATATATATATAATATATAATATATAATATATATATATAATATATAATATATATATTATATATATATATATATATATATATATATATATATATATATATATATATATATATATATATATATATATATATATATATATATATATATATATATATATATCCTAGATGTTATCTAATAAATTCTTACCTGCTGTCTTCTCGTACTTTATCCACTAATTGAGGCAATCAAAGAATCAAGACCGATGAAATAGCTCAGCTCCAGCCTGTGATTCCTGGTTTTATAGCTCGGGCTGCTTCAGTTCCAAAAGCTCCAGGACCGGCACAAAAGGCCCCTCCCACCTACAGACCGAGAGGTTTTAAGACATTGAATACACCCCTGCGGCCATGTTTGGAGGGCAATGATTTACGTCGTTCCTGTTTTTAATGTGAATGGAGCAGCGGTCTAAAGGTTTTTTAATGCGCTTGGCTAAGTGTGAATACATTTCGTGATGGGCCTTTTGAAAAGGTTTCAATGGTGCGCGGGGTGTCTAACAGTAAGTTGCGGCACTGCCGATTAGTGCTTCATTTAACACTGCAGCGTGGGATGTATATCTTAAGATTGTAAAGATTGTGATTGCATATTGGAGGTTTGGGATTGTGTGAGGTGATGGGCTGAGTTTGGTGGGTTTGGTCCGTTAGCGATAAAGTAAAACTTTTTTCAATTATTTTGTTTTTAATTTCAAGGGGCCCGTGTCGCAAGAACAGCTTGTTGCGCAACCCTGTACCGTACAATCCCTTCTAGACTAGAACACTAGATGGTTGTACAACCCCCTCTAGAACACTAGATGGTTGTACAACCCCCTCTAGACTAGAACACTACATGAATGTACAACTCCCTCTAGACTAGAACACTAGATGGTTGTACAACCCCCTCTAGACTAGAACACTAGATGGTTGTACAACCCCCTCTAGAACACTACATGAATGTACAACCCCCTCTAGACTAGAACACTAGATGGTTGTACAACCCCCTCTAGACTAGAACACTAGATGGTTGTACAACGCCCTCTAGACTAGAACACTAGATGGTTGTACAACCCCCTCTAGACTAGAACACTATATGGTTTTACAACCCCCTCTAGAACACTACATGGTTGTACATCCCCCTCTAGACTAGAACACTAGATGGTTGTACAACCCCCTCTAGAACACTACATGAATGTACAACCCCCTCTAGACTAGAACACTACATGAATGTACAACCCCCAATAGAACACTAGATTGTTGGATGAGTCAGTGGATTCACGTGTGAACACAAAAGGGCGTGGCACCAGAAAACGGCTGACTATAACGCGATGCATTTCTCAATCCTGCCACCCTAGGTTGTCTTTGATAATCTGACTATTACCCGACTAATATCTTGGATACTTTATCTTAACAAGACCAATATCTTGGATACCTTATCTTAACATGACCAATATCTTTGATGGCCTGCGATTTTGGATGTCCTCTTTCAGAAACAAATGGTTTCACATTAGGTCTATCTATCTACTTAGCTCCCAACTCGTTAAATTCTACCGTAAATATTTCCCAAATCGTCAAATTGTACCGTAAATATTTCCCAACTCGTCAAGTTGTGCCGTAAATTTTTTTCAAACACATGTCAAATTTTACCGTAAGTATTTGTGACACTTTGGTCATGAGCATGGGCTGTAGTAAACGCACCTGTGATGAAGTGATATATCACATCCACCCATCACATCAATTCAACACATCCACCCATCACATCCACCCATCACATACACCCATCACATCCACCCATCACATCCACCCAACACATCAACCCATCACATCCACCCATCACATCTACCCATCACATCCACACATCACATACACCCATCACATCCACCCATCACATCCACCATCACATCCACCCATCACATCCACCCATCACATCCACCCATCACATCCACCCATCACATCCACCCATCACATCCACCCATCACATCCACCCAACACATCCACACATCTCATCCACCCATCACATCAAGATATATCACATCCACCCATCACATCCACTCATCACATCCACCCATCACATCCACCATCACATCCACCCATCACATCCACCCATCACATCCACCCACACATCCCCACATCCACCCATCACATCCACCCACACATCCACCCATCCACACCACCCATCACATCCACCCATCACATCCACCCATCACATCCACCCATCACATCCACCCATCACATCAACCCATCACATCCACCCATCACATCCACCCATCACATCCACCCATCACATCCACCCATCACATCCACCCATCACATCCACCCATCACATCCACCCAACACATCCACCCAACACATCCACCCATCTCATCCACCCATCACATCCACCCATCACATCCACCCATCACATCAACCCATCACATCCACCCATCACATCCACCCATCCACCCAACACATCCACCTATCACATCCACCCATCACATCCACCCTTCACATCCACCCATCAAATCCACCCATCACATCCACCCATCACATCCACCCATCACATCCACCCATCACATCCACCCATCACATCCACCCATCACATCCATCCATCCATCCATCCATCACATCCATCCATCACATCCACCCATCACATCCACCCATCACATCCACCCATCACATCCACCCATCACATCCACCAATCACATCCACCCATCATATCCACCCATCATATCCACCCATCACATCCACCCTTCACATCCACCCATCACATCCACCCATCACATCCACCCATCACATCCATCCATCACATCCATCCATCCATCGATCCATCACATCCATCCATCACATCCACCCATCACATCCACCCATCACATCCACCCATCACATCCACCCATCACATCCACCCATCACATCCACCCATCACATCCACCCATCACATCCACCCATCACATCCACCCATCACATCCACCCATCACATCCACCCATCACATCCACCCATCACATCCACCCATCACATCCACCCATCACATCCACCCATCACATCCACCCATCACATCCACCCATCACATCCACCCATCACATCCACCCATCACATCCACCCATCACATCCACCATCACATCCACCCATCACATCCACCCATCACATCCACCCATCACATCCACCCATCACATCCACCCAACACATCCACCATCACATCCACCCATCACATCCACCCATCACATCCACCCATCACATCCACCCATCACATCCACCCATCACATCCACCCATCACATCCACCCATCACATCCACCCATCACATCCACCCATCACATCCACCCATCACATCCACCCATCACATCCACCCGTCACATCTACCCGTCACATCCACCATCACATCCACCCAACACATCCACCATCACATCCACCCATCACATCCACCCATCACATCCACCATCACATCCTCCCATCACATCCACCCATCACATCCACCCATCCACCCAACACATCCACCATCACATCCAGCCATCACATCCACCCATCACATCCACCCATCACATCCACCCATCACATCCACCCATCACATCCACCCATCACAACTACCCATCACATCCACCCATCACATCCACCCATCACATCCACCCATCACATCCACCCATCACATCCACCCATCACATCCACCAATCACATCCACCAATCACATCCACCTATCCACCCATCACATCCACCCATCACATCCACCCATCACATCCACCCAACACATCCACCCATCACATCCACCCATCACATCCACCCATCACATCCACCCATCACATCCACCCATCACATCCACTCATCATATCTACCCATCACATCCACCCATCACATCCACCCATCACATCCACCCATCACATCCACCCATCACATCCACCCATCACATCCACCCATCACATCCACCCATCACATCCACCCATCACATCCACCCTTCACATCCACCCATCACATCCACCCATCACATCCACCCATCACATCCACCCATCACATCCACCCATCACATCCAACCATCACATCCATCCATCACATCCACCCAACACATACACCCATCACATCCACCCATCACATACACCCATCATATCCACCCATCACATCCACCCATCACATCCACCCATCACATACACCCATCACATCCACCCATCACATCCACCCAACACATCCACCCATCACATCCACCCAACACATCCACCCATCCACCCATTACATCCACCCATCACATCCAACCATCACATCCACGCAACACATCCACCCATCACATCCACCATCACATCCACCCATCACATCCACCCATCACATCCACCCATCACATCCACCCATCACATCCACCCAACACATCCACCATCACATCCAGCCATCACTTCCACCCATCACATCCACCCATCACATCCACCCATCACATCCACCCATCACATCCACCCATCATATCCACCCATCATATCCACCCATCACATCCACCCATCATATCCACCCATCACATCCACCCATCACATCCACCATCACATCCACCCGTCACATCCACCCATAACATCCACCATCACATCCACCCATCACATCCACCCATCACATCCACCATCACATCCACCCATCACATCCACCCATCCACCCAACACATCCACCCATCACATCCACCCATCACATCCAGCCATCACATCCACCCATCACATCCACCCATCACATTCACCCATCACATCCACCCTTCACATCCACCCATCACATCCACCCATCACATCCACCCATCACATCCACCCATCACATCCACCCATCACATCCAACCATCACATCCATCCATCACATCCACCCAACACATACACCCATCACATCCACCCATCACATACACCCATCATATCCACCCATCACATCCACCCATCACATCCACCCATCACATACACCCATCACATCCACCCATCACATCCACCCAACACATCCACCCCTCACATCCACCCAACACATCCACCCATTACATCCACCCATCACATCCAACCATCACATCCACGCAACACATCCACCCATCACATCCACCATCACATCCACCCATCACATCCACCCATCACATCCACCCATCACATCCACCCATCACATCCACCCATCACATCCACCCAACACATCCACCATCACATCCAGCCATCACATCCACCCATCACATCCACCCATCACATCCACCCATCACATCCACCCATCACATCCACCCATCACATCCACCCATCATATCCACCCATCACACCCACCCATCATATCCACCCATCACATCCACCCATCACATCCACCATCACATCCACCCGTCACATCCACCCATAACATCCACCATCACATCCACCCATCACATCCACCCATCACATCCACCATCACATCCACCCATCACATCCACCCATCCACCCAACACATCCACCCATCACATCCACCCATCACATCCACCATCACATCCACCCATCACATCCACCCATTACATCCACCCAACACATCCACCCATCACATCCACCATCACATCCACCCATCACATCCACCCATCACATCCACCCATCACATCCACCCAATACATCCACCATTACATCCAGCCATCACATCCACCCATCACATCCACCCATCACATCCACCCATCACATCCACCCATCACATCCACTCATCACATCCACCCATCACATCCACCCATCACATCCACCATCACATCCACCCAACACATCCACCATCACATCCACCCATCACATCCACCCATCACATCCACCCATCACATCCACCATCACATCCACCCATCACATCCACCCATCCACCCAACACATCCACCCATTACATCCACCCAACACATCCAACCATCACATCCACCCATCACATCCACCCATCACATCCACCCATTACATCCACCCAACACATCCACCCAACACATCCACCCATCACATCCACCCAATACATCCATCCAACACATCCACCCATCAGATCCACTTCAGTGGACGTAGGCCTACGCTTTTATTACAAGCAAGGTTTCGGCTGGCTGCACGTATATTTGTATGACTTCATACGTGTGTATGCTCTACGTCCATCAACGAGAACAGCACATCTAGCCTGACTAATAAGCCCATCAAACCAGAGCTGGGCGAACTTTGTGTGTCAATAGATCTGTATAATGGTGGATGGTTTTTGTTTTCCGTTTAAAAATCCGCCCTCCCATTGATGTTATCAAGCTTCTAGCTCAGCCAAGCGAAGATTGAGTCTCGAGCTTCACCAGATTTTTTTCCACATGGACAAACAAATATTTTTGTCACTGGGGGGAGATGTAAGCATTAGGCTCGCTGGGGAACAACTAGAATTCTGGGGAACCACGGGGAACACTGGGATCTATTGAAAATGTAGGAAAAATGAGCGGAAAATATTTTAAAAGTTAAAAATATTTCAAAACATGTGTGAGTTATTGGAATTAATTTGGCATTTTTGAAGTACTAGCAATGACTTATGCTCGTTATAAAAGCGTTTTTTTTTATCTTGAAATAAAGGGCCAATAGATAGAGGGCCAATAGACAGGGGCAAATAAACATGGGCCAATAGTATTAGTAATAGAACAAATTTCCATAAATGTGGGACTAAGCATAACTTTAATACGATAGAAATTAATTAAATTATTCAATTAAAATACACATAATACATAAGCCCCAGGGGAGCAAAAGGCTTCAGATACACCTCTCCAGTAGACTCTCTTTAGCCCATGTTTGCCCCCAGCCATAGCCTCCCCTTCCCCAGTCTTCCTTTCCCCTGAGGGTTCCAGACAAATGCTGATATTCTCATTGTGTGGGCTGGAATGTTCCAGTATGTTTGTGGACTTGCTGTCATGTCCCAGTATGTGGGCTGTGGTGGGCTGTGGTGGGCTGTGATGGGCTGTTGCAACATGTGGTCGTGTGATCTTTTTTCTGGCAATCTTCAGGACTAGTCGTGGCCATGCGAAAGGCTGTTGTCTGTTGTTTGATTATGTAATCCTCCAGATCTCGAGGCAACGGAGTGATCTAACCCGTAAGTCTCGAGTTCGAATCCAGGTTCAAGTCAGTAGACCGTCCCCAAGTCCACCCAACTCTGATCGGTACCTAACTCACGTTAGCGAAAGTAAAGGCGGCTGGGCATCGTGCTGACCACACTATCTCTTCATACGCCGAGGTCACAGAAACAAGTGAACTCTATTTCACTTGACCTATAGACCGTCAGGTTTGAAAAGGGAACTTTACTTTTACTATTTTAATGTGTTTAAAATGCGTAACCTGCATTGGGGGAGGGGGTGAGAAGGCTATGAAGTATAAGAAGTTAAAATCCATACATGACCATACGCGATTCGGGTTTCATTCCATATTTACAAACTGTTCAATTTGTCTGATGACAATAATAAGATGATGTTCATCGTAAAAATTGTTACGTCACCTGTTTCAGTGATATCAAATGTGACACAAACACCCCAGACAGATGTGACAACTTTCTGTCACAGGTTCACTATACATTGTTCATCGTCATCATCATTCCTTTGTTGCCTACGTCCACTGAAATGGATCTGATGGGTGGATGTGTTGGGTGGATGTGATGGGTGGATGTGATGGGTGGATGTGTTGGCTGCAACCACACATCTCCATCGGACTCGGTTTTGGGCTGCCCCCTTTATCTGTGCCCATGTGTGCCCAGCTGTCCTGCCTCTTCTTCAACCGTTCTTCTCCATGTCTTTCTTGGCCGGCCCACCCTCCTTTTTCCCTGGGGATTCCAGTCCAAAGCATGTTTTGAGATGTCTTTATTTTCTTAATGTGTGTGTCCGATCCATCCCCATTTACGGGCCTTGATATCTTTCTCTATTGGCTGTTGCTTTAAAATTTGCCACAGCTCTTTGTTTGATATTTTCTAAACATTGTTGGTGAATTAAAATTATTTTCATGCTGTTTAGCGAAGTATTTATTTCGCTTTTGAAACAAAGCAAAGATTATTTTGATCTAGTTTTCCCTGAGAATGAAACTTTTGATTTAACTCCCCATCTCTTTGTTTAGCCGCTGTACGATGTTTTTGTAATGCCGAAGTCATGTTCAGCGTGTTAGCAAACGACTCCATGTCTAAACCAATCTTATGACGGCACTAGATACAGCAAGGCGACACCCCACATAGTGACGTCATTTAATTCTATGTACAGCTGTTTATAAATATTTTTGGGGCCATTTTCTCTATTGATACTCTGCCCCATCCCCAGAAATACTTGTGTAGATTTTCACGTGGATACCCCTCACTATTTACATTGAATTCTTCATATATGATTACAATGGTGAATTGAAGGTGTTGGTACTCTAAAATGAGGAGAAGACCTTCTACAAATGTTAATTAGTTTATTACATCTTTGATTTCCTAAATCAATAAGTTTAATAATTAATTAATTAATTAATACAACAGTAACAAGTGAAACAATATGAACATTGAGTGAGCAAAGACCGGTGTATCACGTGACAACACTAGCTATGTTAACTGGTTTTTACATTAGACGATATGTGAAATCATTAGACACCAGATTTTAATGAAATGTTAATCTATAATACACAATACAACATACACCAAATATGTTTTTATTCTTCTTATTTTACGTTTATTGAGCTTTAATTTTTAAAGTTATAAAGAACATTTGTTTAAAATATATATTTTAAATCTTTTATTTATCGAAATAGAGATATTTGAAACAAGTAATATCACAATAAAAAAAATATTTTAGAGAAAAATGTTTAATGTGGATGAAAATCGTCAAGCGATATTTTTTTCAGTGGTCGACTTGACATGAGACGTGAAACTTGACACTTGATCACCTACGTGAAACCGAAATGTGATCTGAAATAGATTAATTGGAAATATTTGGTTTTATTCAATTGGAATTATGTTGTTTCATTCAGTTTGAAGTCATTCAAGTGCTTACACGGATATGGTTTTAATTAAGTAATTATTTATTTTAATTTGTTTTTAGTTTTTGTGGACACTGACATAACACGTCTTGTCTGAGATTGGCCTAACAAAAGTGTTGCTGATGTTGGAGCTAAGAAAAGACTTACCCAGTCTCTACCAGTGGTTGCCGTTCCTCCTGTACTCGTTGACGCTCTGCTCGAGGTCAGCCATCATGTCCGTGTACTGTTTGGCCGCCCGGCACATGATGGTCACAAGGTCCTCCAGGGCGCTCTTCAGCTGGTCGTGTTGGTCCAGGGCGGAGAACTCTTCGGCCTTTTTCTGTGGGGGGAGACAGATCATATGAGGGTCAGTTGAGGGGGGGGGGATTGGTGTGAGGGTCAGTTGGTATGTTGGGGGACATAGGTGTGAGGGTCAGTTGGTCGGTGGAGGGGCATTTGTGTTGGGGTCATATGGGAGATGGGGGACAGGTCTGGTGGCGGGGGACATTGGTTAGGGGGTCAGTTGAGCTGGAGGGTACAGGTCGGTGTGAGGGTCAGTTCAGGTGGGGGACAGGATAGTGTGAGGGTAAACGGAGGATGAGGGGTAATATTCGTTTTTTTTAATTGCCCGACCATGTTTCATTCTCCCTCCGTGTACTAAATGAATGATTATACCTACTCCATGACTCTTTAAAACTCACCTTCATCTCTTCAGGGCAGAAGCTAACCATATCATCCATCTCGCTGTCTGTGCTGTTGTCGTAGTTTGTCACTGAGGTGTCGTTGTTGTCGTTGTCGTCGGTGGTGTCGTTTCTTGCACCATCAACCATGTCTCCTTCATCGTCGTCATCATCAGCGTCATCGCATCCAGTACCAAATTTGCCATCAGCGATCCTGTAAAGATAATTTTTTTTTAACTTTTTGCGTTTTGTTTAGTTGTTCAACTACTTACCCAGTTTCTTGATCCGTTTAACTAATTTGGAGTTTCATCTGCAGTTATGATCTAAATCGTTTCATTATATTATCAGAAGTGACATACAGTGATTAATACAGCCAAAAAAAATGTTTCTTGATATGGCTTCTGTGTGACCTATAAAATAACTTCATGATGATGACTTTTGTGGTGACTTAAATTCCTTTGTATGACTTACTTGACTTTAGTGTGACTGCATGACTTTAGTGTGACTGCATGACTTTAGTGTGACTGCATGACTTAAGTGTGACAGCATGACTTGATAACTTACTTTTGCAGGAGTTTCTTGGACCTGGAACATGGGCAGTCGTCCAGCAGGTGCTCGATGATTGAGTGGGTGAAGCTGAGTTTCTGCTCCTCGTATTCCTCGGTCAGAGACTGGAGCTTCTGGGTCAGCATCTTCTTGACCTGGGCACGCTCCATCTCACGTCTGATGGCGTCCTTGGCTTCACGCTCTTCGCGCTCTTTAATTTCCTGGTTCATTAGTGAATAATTAATGAGTTACACGCTCGCGTGAGGATTAAGACGATTGACCGTATTTTGAGCTTTAAGTTTTGGTAAATAAATCACTAACTGACCGTCATTATTATCTTATGCACTGACCTCAGTTCCGAGATCACCAACTGACCCACAATCTGACCCCACCATCTGACCCCACCAACTGACCTTCACCCTGACCCCACCATCTAACCCTATCAACAGACCTTTACCCTGACCCAACCATCTGACTGCACCATCTGACCTTCACATTGACCCCACCAACTGACCCCATCAACTGACCTTCATCCTGACGAACTCCTTATACTGCAGGACGTGTCCACGAACGTAGTCGTCATATTCCTCATCCTCACCCCTGTCCCTCCTGTCCTGTCTCTGGAGCCACTCTTTGAACTCTGCGAATGTCTTTCTCTTCTGTAACACATTTCAATTCAGTATTAATTTTATAATTTTATTGATTACGTGTCCATTGTGTTTTAAATCAAAACTTTCTTTTTTTTTCATAGTAAATATAATCATGGACGCTATATATGTTACCAACTGCGCTTAACAACTGAATACATCAGTGGATTGAGACACTGACAACTGACAGACTCACCTTATCGTTGTCGTCATCCCTCTCCTCTCCCTCCTCCCTGTTTGACCCGCGTCTTGAGCCTCGCCCATCGTCTTTGGACTTCTGCCTTCGCTGGTCGTTTTGGTCATCGGCAGTTGAGTCATCGTCGTCTTTTTCCTGGCTTTTCTTGCTTCCGCGGCCTTCGCCCCTCTTTCCCCAGCCCAGGGGCTTATCGTCACCCCATCGATTGTCGGGACGGTCGTCACTACTGTCGTCGTCGTCTGTGTCTACGGAGGGTGTGTTGTGGTCGTCAGATTCCTGGGAGTCTGGAACCTTCTGCTGCTGTCTCCTGCCACGCCCCTTCCTGTCACCCCATCCATTGGATTCTTCACGATCTCCCCATCCTTTGGATTCTTCCTTATCTCCCCATCCTTTGGATTCTTCCTTATCTCCCCATCCTTTGGATTCTTCCTTATCTCCCCAGCCTTTGGAGCCTTGCTTATCTCCCCATCCTTTGGATTCTTCCTTATCTCCCCAGCCTTTGGAGCCTTGCTTATCTCCCCAGCCTTTGGAGCCTTGCTTATCTGCCCAGCCTTTGGAGCCTTGCTTATCTCCCCAGCCTTTGGATTCTTCCTTATCTCCCAATCCTTTGGAGCCTTGCTTATCTCCCCATCCTTTTGATTCTTCCTTATCTCCCCATCCTTTGGAGTCTTCCTTATCTCCCCAGCCTTTGGATTCTTCCTTATCTCCCCATCCTTTGGATTTTTCCTTATCTCCCCATCCTTTGGAGCCTTGCTTATCTCCCCAGCCTTTGGATTCTTCCTTATCTCCCCATCCTTTGGATTCTTCCTTATCTCCCCATCCTTTTGATTCTTCCTTATCTCCCCATCCTTTGGAGTCTTCCTTATCTCCCCAGCCTTTGGATTCTTCCTTATCTCCCCATCCTTTGGATTCTTCCTTATCTCCCCAACCTTTGGAGCCTTGCTTCTCTCCCCAACCTTTTCCGTTGTTTCCTTTCTCGGAGGAATCATCGTCCTCACCAAAGCCGAGGTCTTTACCCCATCCTTTCTCTTTGATCTCCTTCTCTACCTCATCCCACATGCGGTGGAAGTCCCCAGCCAACACCATTGGCACCACCAACAGAACGAAGAGCAGCTTCATCGTAATGTCTGGAATCAAGAAATTAATTCGTCAGTGGAGAATTCGCCATTGATAGAATAAGCTGGCAAAGTTTTGAAGTAAATAATAATTCCTCTTTAACTTTATCAATAACAACAGCAACTTCCCACAGCTTGTGTCGCGGTTGAGCTGAGCCATCAGCACCATAAAGGACATGTCGTTTCGCCACTTCTAGGGCTTACACGTTTACTATTGGTTCTAAATTGCAAAACTAAAAACCACTATTTAAATTCCGAAAAGGAGAACTTTTTAACGGATCAAACCAAATTAATTTAAACGGCTTTACTCGACTTAAAAATACATGAAAATATCTCTGTATGACGGGAAGGTTTATGTCTAATGTCTTCTGTACCCATGCCTTTAGTTGTCTAATGTCTTCTGTACCCATGCCTTTAGTTGTCTAATGTCTTCTGTACCCATGTCTTTAGTTATCTTGTATCAAATGACAAGACATGTTTCAATGGGATCTTGAGGAACCAAATACTTGACACATCTCGTTTGTTTATCACTACATATGTGATCTATTTTTATCACCTACATATGTGATCTATTTTTATCACCTACATATGTGATCTATTTTTATCACCTACATATGTGATCTATTTTTATCGCCTACATATGTCATCTATTGTATCAACTACATACGAAAACGTTTATTTTAACACCAGGTAACATAGGTTTATATGGGTTTATATATGGGTTGTTTACGACAGATATTTTCCTCGAGAGCTTTTTCTTTATTACAAACTCTAAACAATAGCTGAACATATATATATATATATATATATATATATATATATATATATATATATATATATATATATATATATATATATATATATATATATATATCCTAGATAATATCTGATAAATTCTTACCTGCTGTCTTCTCGTACTTTATCCACTAATTGAGGCAATCAAAGAATGACGATCGATGGAATGGCTCTAGCCTGTGGTATCTAGTTTTATAGTTCAGCCTGCTCCATTTCCTACAGCTCAGGCCCGGCTTCTTAACGCGCTCTGGTAAGTTTGCATAGATTTGTTGATGCGCATGTAGAGAATATTCAAGTGTGGCGATCAGTTTTTGCTTAAGCATGCAGTGTGGGGTGTGGGGTGTATAACATTAGACGAAAAGATTGTGATTGCTTATTGGAGGTTTGCTTGGGATTGTGTGGGGAGATGGGGTGGGTTGGTGGGTTTCGTCCGTTAGAGACGAAGAAAAATGTTGCAAGAGAAGCGTGCTAAGTAACCTGGAGCCGTAGAACTTAAGCGTGCTAAGTAACCTGGAGCCGTAGAACTCCTTCGAGGCTAGAACACTACAGGCATGGCTGAGCCAATGGCTCCACCTGTGAAGATGGCTGAGTAGTTGTATGGCGGGGAAAAAAGACATGGTTGAGGACATCAAAGGTTGGACTGACCTGCCTGATGCAGAACAACCCAGAGCATCAGAGGACCGAGACAGAAGGCAGAAAATTATGAGAAAATCAAATGTGGTTACAAACGATCTGAGAGAATCAAATGTGGTGACAAACGACCCCAACAAGGACGGTTGATAGATTGAGATGTTTGGCAAGATGCAGTTCTTATTCTAGAAAGATCTTTTAGGACATGTCTAAACACAACCTAACCATCTCTGATTGCCTATCTAAACATGACCTATCTTAACATGACCTAAACATCTTTAATGACCTGTCTAAACATGACCTAACCATCTTTGATGACGTGTCTAAACATAACCTAACTATCTTCAATAACCAGATTAACAACGTTTTCGCCATTTTTATGACCTACTTAACCATTACTTTCTTTGATGACCTACTTAACCATTGCCTTCTTTGTTGACCTGCCCTACTTCGAGCGGTTGGTCAACAGAACTATTTAACTACTTATTTCTTCCTTGTCAAATATCATAACACTTGTGATCATTTAATTTTTAAATCGTCCATGATCATTACAAGACCCATCTGTGTGTTATTTTATTATCTATTACGTATCAGATCCACTTTAGTTGATGTACACTTTTTTCATAACTTTCGTTTCGCGTGGCTGCACGTACATGTTTCATCACGTAAGAAATTTGTTCTGCTCTACATCTTTGAATAAGAAAGCACATAAAACCAGTTTGGTCTGTTCAAAGATCACCCTAGCTAGCAAGAGCTGGGGCTAGCTTTGTATGCCAAGAGATCTGTATAATGGAGGATGTTTTTTGTTTTCCGTTTAAAAATCCGCCCTGCCATTGATGTTATCAAGCTCCTAGCTCAGCCAAGCGAAGACACTTGAAGATTGAACGTCGAGCTTCACCAGACTTTTTCCACTGGGACAAACAAATATTTTTGTCACTGGGGGAAGATGTAAGCATTAGGCTCGCTGGGGAACAACTAGAATTCTGGGGAACCACTGGGAACACTGGGATCTATTGAAAATGAGTGGAAATTATTAGGGATGTCAAAAATATTTCAAAAAGTTTTTGATTGATTGGGATTAATTTGGTATTTTGTAAGATTAATTGATATCTTTTAAGAACTATGACAATTACTTATGCGCGATAAGAAGTGGTTCATGATCATCGGGAAATACAGGGGCCAATAGACAGGGGCCAATAGACAAGGGTCAATAGACAGGGGTCAATAGAAGGGGACCCATAGACTGGCTCAAAGACAGGGGCCAATAGACAGGGACCAATAGACCCAATATACAGTGGCTCATAGACAGGGGCCCATAAACAGTGGCCCATAGACAGTGGCCGATTGACAGGGGCCAACAGACAGGGACCAATAGACAGAGGCCAATAGACAAGGAACGATAGATAGGGCCAATAAAAAGGTTTTATTAGATAGGCAATTTAGTTTCAAAATTTTTAATAAAATGGGAGATAACAAGATAAATTACTAGCGATCGCTTGATCAAATGATCGTCACGGGTGAACTGTTTACACGTTGGCTGATTTCCTGCCCTGTTGTCGCCCACCAACAAAATCAGGACAGACAACTGCATCTTAGATCACAAGCTACTCACCGATTGTAAGGCAAATATTCTCAGTCGTGGCCCATGTCGTGCCAACTTCATGACTAAAAAGTGTTAGAAAAAATTATTTTAATTTTAACATTTAAAAAAATATTTTGAACGTGAAAGGAAAAAAAATAAAAAAAAATAAAAAAATCACAAATGAAAAAAAAATGCTAAAACGTAAAACACATAAAGTTAGTTTGCCTACAAACAAATTTATTTGCCTACAAAATACTCATTCTAATAAATTGTGTCCAAATTTATTATAATTTCACTTTCTCTTTCTGCGTGTTCTTTATTGTGAACTAAAGCTGTTTGCTGTCATGACTTAAAATAAAAGCATTGGTGCTCACTTATGGAGACTCTTCCCTTTCGTAGGGAGGTCGTTGATAGGTTCACGTTCTATAACATAAGATCTATGTTCAAATTTCACCATTGAGCTTCCAGATTTTTATTTTGTTTTGTTTTTCATACAGCTTTAGCAAGGGTATTTATTTCTACAAGCTTTTATTTAACTTGCCTCCTCTGTCGTCAGTCTGCCGACAGTTTGTCAATCTGTCATCATAGATCGAAACGGCCGAGCTAAATTTCCGGCACTTCTAACTAACAGATTCGTTTCAAAGTTGGCACGTGGGTCAAGACTTAAAGTTAATGCAATTTAACATTAAATTTGACTTTATTGGATGACTCGTTATTTTTTTATGAATTAATTACAATTTTCTGTAATTAGTGGGCAGTCTTATCCAACTTTTCCGCACTATTATACGCGCGTTAGCATGTTCATCAGGTGCGCAATAGTTTTTAGTCATGCAAGTCTATTGTATTAAAAATATGTAAATAGGCCTACTTCCTAAATATTAGTAAAGGTATCCAATAGATAATAAAGTGACCCACGCTTTTCTCTATAATAATTTAAATAGTAGTGTATTATTATATTTTTAATTAAAGAACAATTTATTTTCTATTTTTTAGTGCATCTATATATATAAAGCAAAGTGGTCAGGTGCCCGATAGGGCACTTCCCGGCGCCGCACGCACGTCTAATTTGGCACGATGGTGCCTCGGGGCGATAGAACACGAGGGCCGGTGACAGTTGGCCGAAAAGTCTACGGAGAGGGGGTCAAAACTGACCTCGACTGACCGGCGCCTTATATGGGCTATATTACGAAAAAAAAGTGACCGCGAGTGAAATTCTCTTTATATGAGCTCTATTACGAAAAAAAAATTTCCTCCGACGACCCCCCTTGAAATTTTGTGAGGTGGTAGGAGAACGCCTTGGGGTGTCACAAAAAACTCGCCATGTCAGGGAAAATTCGTTAAATGGGTCAAAACTGACCAGTCGTATTTCCCTATATAATCTTTGTATTTTATGGGGAAAACAGGGTAATTTCAACACAATTTTTAGGTTACTTAACCTCTGTACATCATGCAAATGTTTTGCGTACACTTCTATGGATGACTAGGCCGTTTGGAAAAACTGTTGGGCAGACTCAAAGCCCTCTACCAGGGCTAAAAGATGACCGCGAGTGACATTCTCCTTATACGAGATATATATAAATAAATTGACGAACGAACCCCTTATTATTATTTAAGGTCGTAGACCTACCCTGGAGGGTAACAAAAAACTTTATTCCCGTCGGGAAAGGCCATTGTAGTCGTTAAATATGTTCATATATTGTATTTTCTAATATAAGCATATCAACTGTTTGTAAAAAAAAAAAAAGTAAACAAAGACATACGTGATTCGGGCCATTTTCAAGGGAGCTAACCTTTTTAAGTAATTATTTTTCAAATAATTGTATACTATTTTAAACAGAAACAGAAAATGACAAAGTGTAGCATTTGTTTTAGTAAAACATTAAAATGTTAATTAAGCTACGTATAATAAATAAGAAAAAAAATAATTTTAAAAGTCAACATAATATAAATTATGAGATTTACTGTTCATGGAACCTCTGTAGTTCTAATTCATTTTAGTCATACATTGCGTACTTTCAGTTATTTTTCTCAGAAAACGGATCGTAAACAACATACAACAACATCTTCTCTAAAATTAGCATTACTGTTTACTTTTAAGCACTCCACACCTCATCCATCAATAAATAATTAGTATTCAAATTATTAAATGTTTTTGAAAACCTAAGCGAAGCTAGGCAGTATGCCTAGTTATTACATAAAAGCGTATTATTAAAACGTTTCTTTTGCATTTTTTTTTACTTTTTTTACTTTTGATTTGTTGGAGGGGGGGGGCAGTGTGTGCTCTTTGGCCGTCACAGCAGAATTAAGCAACGTGGAGGTGCCAAGATATGTAAATGTTTTGTTGATAAAGAATAAGATGAACTAGTTCATTTAGTCTGACACATTTATTTGTTCATTTTTTTCTTCAATCAATTCAGCCCAGGGTGGTAACTGTGAGCCAACATAACGTTCTGGTGGGGGGGGGGGGGCGCAGATGGGTGTGTGACACTGTTCTACTTTGTCAACAAATGTTTTAGTTGTGTATGTCCAAAAAGATCCTACTTTAATCCGAATAAAGTCCTGTTGATTATATTTACCAAAGTCCTGGCTGTCCCCAAAATAGAACTTTTGTCCTGCATTACGTCATTCAAGTGTTAAGTTCTCTACGCATGCGCAAGTCGTTTCACTTGGCTTTCTACCAGACTGTTACATGTTATGCAGAAAGTACACCTCGGCTCATTAAATTGCACACATTTAGTGGACTAGTTGATGTACAGGGTACACGCCAGACTTTTACGTGTGTAACTGTGTACGTGTGCATGTTTGTACGTTTCTACGTGTACCTATTAACTAATAGGTAATATCTTGATGAGCCTGCAGAGTTTCTTCCAGGCACCTCTTCGGAGCCCCCCCCCCCCCCCCCCCGAAGAAAGTCTACCCCTCCCCCCCCCCCCCTGAACGAGATGGAGTTTATATAGAAAATATATACCTTTAACAGTGTCCGCCCCCCCCCCCCGAAAATTTCAAGTGCGCCCCATCCCCCCCGAAAATTTCAAGTGCCCCCCCTCTCCCGGAGAAAAAGGTCTAGGAAAAACACTGTGAGCCTGTAAGATTTGTTGAGTGGATG